TGTTGTTAGCCGCCTAGAGTGGTCCTGACCCGACCAGATAGGCGGGATATAAATAAAATAAATAAATAAATATGATGTTGCGCAACAAGATTTCAGCCAGTCTTATAGTTTTGTTTGGAAGACAGAAAAAAGCATTTATATTTCTTTCTTATTATGGTGTTTACTGCATTATCTTTTAACATGTAGTAAGTACACCTGTGATATTTGTTCCTGCCTCTGAATTATGTTTTAATTTTATGCAAATCAAGGTTTGGAATATCCTCCTTCCTCTTCATCCCCAAATTACAAAGGCATTTGCTTGTTTTTAGTTGATCAATTTCAGATTCCTAGTAAAATTGTTTTGGAGGAGGCAAAGACACAAGACTTTTGAAGCAAGGAAATAAAGACTTTTATTTTCATCATAAGGGACTATGGTTCAAGAAAAGTCTGAAGACATTGGTTTTGTTACTTCTGTAGCAAACAGTTTGTACACAACAAACCAGGGTTCTTTGCTCTCTTGGGTTGTTGTGTTAAGCAAACGAAGCAATTGTGCATCAGCATTAGCCGTGGTTAATACCAACCAGAATCCTCCTCTTAGCTAGAGTTTGCAGTAAAAGTTTTGAAAGAGGTTTGCTGACCCTGGTTTGGCATTAACCATTGTTGCTGTTGGGATAGATTTAACAATAAATGTATATCAAGGCAAATAAGGGACATGTAAGGAGAGTTTATGTGTGAGAGGAAGTTTTAGGCCAACTCTCAATCTCTGAACCAAAGTTAAGAAATCAGGAGTGCTGTGTCTAAGGTTCTGCTTCATTGTTCTATTCTGTGGTTTGCTCTCTTGGCTTTATGAGTGTTAGGCCGTTGATCTGAATAAATGATATATGATTCCCAGTGTTCCTCTCCACTGGCTCTGTTGGCCAGGGTTGGTAAGAGTTGCAGTCTGACAATAGTTGGAGAGCTGTGCTTTGTCCAGCATGGCTTAGATGGAAACAAGTGAGTAGGAACAAGGTGGCGATGAAAAATGATTCTTGAAAGTGGTTTTTCTGGAAAGTTTGGATCTGACTTGGCTGAGAGAAAACAACCACCTTGACTTTTTCCACAGGGGGAGAGAGTGGCAGAGTTAATCCTTCATCACTCCAGAGCGAACCAGTGCAAGGATGTAGAGAGATTCAAAGCTGATATGGCTGAGCTGGTGACAAAGGCTAGGAGCAACACTATAGCGTTGGGAAAGGTCAGTTCTTTAATTCAAAGCATGGCTTTCTGAAAAGTTGTATGCATTATCTAGTGTGCAAGACCAGCACTATGACCCAGAATAAGTGCATCAACTTAGATACTCATTTCTGTGTATCTCAGTATCGGGTAGGCAAGAAGATACTTCAAATGTAAACAAGGTTCAGTGCATCTAGATGCAACCCCCCCCCCGCAGGCAATTAAAATCATAAGGACCATTAATCAATTAAAATCAGTGCTGTCTGTGGAGAAGAACTGGGGGTGGGAAAAGCTGCTTATCCAGGGAACACTATAAATCTGCAAACTCGGGAGGAGAAAGCTCTGGCCTGTGTTTCCCATTTGGACCCTAGTTTCCTGCTCTTACCTCTGTCTTGTATTTAGAGATAAGAAACTACAGTATTTAAAGCTTGGGAAATTCTCACAAGGAAGTATGCCCTCTGCAGCCTGGATGGGGTTGCACTGGTGCTTACTCCTGAGAAGATATGCATATATTTGAAATCTGTTGAGCATAGCTGATGGGGAAATATCCAAATTGCTAAGAGTAACATCTGGCACCACCCCCCAGGCACTTGTTCCCATCCATTGTCGTGGTGTGGCTTCCATGGACCTTTAGAGGTCAGACCAAAAAAAAGTTCCTCACCTCTGCTACATGTAAGGGAAAAGTGTGGAAATTACTTTGTGGAAATTCTACTCAGGTTTCTGACTCCCCCACTTACATGCATACACACACGTTCTGATGCCTTTTTTGTTTTGAATTTTTGTGGGGTTTTTTGCATGTGAAGCCACGTGGTGAAATAAATGACTGTGTTTAACTCTTTGTATTTCAGTTCCAAGTTGCGAGCCTACTGTCCAGTGCTTTCCAGTTACTGATGGCCCATCAGGTAACATTATCTTTATATGTTCTAGTTCTTATTCACATGTGTATGGGGCTTTGTCACTAGGATGTACAGCTGATGCCGAATGCAGAATGTGGAGAATTGCACTTTTGTATTTGCAAATACCAAATCCAAAGGTTCTTGAAAGCACTTGAGGTGGCTCCTATTTTGCATAGAAATCATATGATAAAACAGCAAGTTTAACTCTGGATCTCAAGCTCCCCCATCTTCCCCTGCAATGGACATAGCCTGATGTACATACACACTGTCTCTGAATCCTGTACAGCTAAAGGACCATTTGGGTTTTCAGCCTGAAAGCCTGTAGGACTTAAAAGACAAGGTGGGGGGTGTATGTGAGCCATGAACTCAAGGTTCCCCCATTTGTCAGAACTGAAGATAAAAAAATACTGTTTAACTGCATTCAGTTCAATGGCTTACCATACCTATGTAGATCTTTTCCCTGGACACAAGCAGAAGTTTCTGGGTTGGGATGATGAGGGGTGAGGTGTGTCTTACCTGCATGTGTACAATAAGCTCTACATGCAGTCAGGAAAAATACCTGAAAGGCACTTTAGCCTCCAGTGGTGTCACTGAAGCTTATGCACATACTTTAGAGAATTGAGGACCGAAGGCTTGTTCTTTTGAGTGAAAGTGGAAATGCTTAGGATGCTACAATCTGTTCTCAGTGCAGATTTTGTATCACCGTAGCACTTTCCCTACTGATGAAAACTACAGGAAATTGTTCAGCTGAAGAACAAAAGCTTGCCTCTGTTCCTTTAAATTCTCTAGCAAAATTGCCTTTCTTTCTGCAGAATAACACGGGCTTGATTATTGCTAATGTTCAGAACATTAGAGTCAACACTATGCATTCTTAAAGATGTTTTCTACTTCTAAATGATTTTGAATGTTTTTTCCCTACTAGCACGGTGGAATCCTTTTACCTATTTGGCAACTTTTTTTGTTTCAGGTAAAACTGGAGAGCAACTTTGCCTCAGTTGTCTTTGCCATTATGGTCTTGGAAGGCCTTGGTCGCTCCCTGGATCCTGAGCTAGATATTCTGAAAGCAGCTAAACCTCTTCTCATCAAACCTCCAGGTTTTCCTCTATGGAAGGAATAGTCAGCGGCACAGCCAGCTTTGAGATGGTGGTGATAGGCAAGAGCCAGAGCTTGAAAAAATTAGTTTTTTGGTCCAAAAAAATCTATTTTTTAGCACCCCCAGCGGGCAGACTGGCTAACGGAACAGTCTTGGGAAACTGTGCTCTGCAAAAACCTTATGGTCTGATTTGAAGCCCCTGGTTCTTTGGCTGCTTCCCCGCCCCCCTGCCCCATCTTCTCTTTTTGCCTGGCAATCTTGCAGTATGACTGGGACAACAAAACATCACCACTCCTGTAAAAGGAAGCTCCACTGCTGGCCTAGCAAGGTTGCGGGAATGTCTGCTCCATTGGAAGTATTTCTTCAAATATCAAAGTGGTAGCAAACTGAATGAATCGGATGTTTCCTTTTGGAGAGAGCTTGGACAAAGTGGCCTCCAGGGTGATGGGAAGCCTTCAGGGTTTTCATTGTTTCCGGCCCATCTCAAAGTCAACAGCCGATGTGTTCGACCTACCAGTCCGACTCTCACACTTGGATAAATACTTCAAATTAAAATGGTGTGTGCTTCCTTCACTCCATCATACTGTGTCCTACTCACACTATGTGGAGGTCATCAGTTTCCTTCCTCAATCCCATGGTGTGAAGCCCTGGACCTGCACCCTGTGGTCCTGCAGTAATAGTACTGATGGCAGTAGTTGCAGAAACTGCCATTGTGTCACCTGCTGTTGTGGCTTCCAATGATTACATCCAAAAACTGAGGACATCTTTATGTCAAGACAGGCAGTGTCCAAATGCTAAAGGTCTTTCCATTTGGATCCTGAAGTTGAGGGAATGCTGTTCTCCTGAACTTCAGAGTAATGTCTTCAGCACCAAAGGAATATTTACCAGTACAGTGGACCCTCTACTTACAGAATTAATCTGTACTGGAATGGTGGCTGCAGGTCGAAAAGTCTGTAGGTCGAGTCTCCATTGACCTACAATGCCTTGAAAACTGATTAATCCATAACCGGCTGTTTTTATTCCATTTTTGTTCCGTCTTTATGTCAAGACTGGCAGTGTCCAATTGCTAAAGGTCTTTCCATTCGGATCCTGAAGTTGAGAGAATGCTGTTCTCCTGAACTTAATGTCTTCAGCACCAAAGGAATGTCTACCAGTAATCTATTCTTATATAATTGAGGATTATCATACTTAAAGTATTGTGATTCCTAAGAAATTGTCTGTGGAAAGATGACAAAAGTCTGTAACTCGAAAAGTCTGTAAGTCGAGCCGCCTGTAAGTCGAGGGTCCATTGTAATCTATTCTTATATAACTGAGGATTATCATACTTAAAGTGTTGTGTTTCCTAAGAAATTGTCTGTGGAAAGATGACACAATCACTGGAATCAACAAAGATATCTCATATGTACTGTATCAGTCTCAAGGAACTCACACTGGTTTACAGTGACAGCGCTTTTGTTGCTCCTTAAAAAAAACTTAAGGACAAGGAGAACTTCTCTATCAAACCTACATTTCCATAATGAAAGCCAATATTCAATATAGCTGGAGTGCATTATAAGAAAATCAACTGAAACAAACCATTGACGTGTTTTTGGAGTTCTCCAAAATGAGAAGCTGCGGCTACTGTTAAACTATTATTGGTGACCAAAATATTTGTTTTTATAAACCAATATGTGTACTTCTAAATATAACTTATTGTTAGGGGGAACTGGATTTATTAGTAAATGATTTTAAATGGTTCGTACATTGTTTTTCACAATTAATTGCTTCAAAATGAACTGAATGTAGTGTACAGACATCCCATTCACACATTACTATGGGTATGAGCAAATAAAAGTTATGGCCAGTATTTACGGATGTATTTAATTATCCACCCCACCTTTCTCATGAAATAAACTCGTGAGGACTTATAAGATAACCGTACAGATACAATGAAAATGAATATAAATATGAAGAAATGAAATGAATAAAAGTGTAAATTATTAAAGCACACTACTGTATACAACACACACAAAAAGAAAATGCAACAGCCTTGCAGTTAGAAGCCCCTGCTTCAGGAAGTGAAGTCAGTTGCCACGGACTGGCCAGAATAAAAACGTATTTTTCTATTAGCAAAACTCAGTAGCTTCCCTTGAGTTCCAGAGTTTGGGAACAGCCACAAAGAAAGTCCAGTAGAGCTGCTCTCCCATGTGCTAATATGGTAGATACATTTGAAAACAAGTAAATGTATATCTCTCATGTCTGCAAGACGGACTTGTGGTGGCTTATACAATAACACTATTTAACAGAACAGAATAAGAGCAGATGCAAGCAGTTGAAACTAGAGCTGGGCACAAAGTGCTGGATTGGCATTTACCAGTCCAACAGCTGATCTGTGGTTCAGCACCCCATCCCTCCTAGCAGGTACTGTGTGTCCCCAAAAATAAGACAGGGTCTTATATTAATTTTTGCTCCAAAAATAAATTAGGGCTTATTTTCAGGGGATTTTTATTTTTATGTACAACAATCTACATTTATTCAAATACAGTCATGTCATCTTTTTCTGGTTGCTGCACAATGGTGGAGGTTGGGTTTTCACTTAACTGGGGCTTATTTTTGGGGTAGGGCTTACAGTATATTATGAGCATCCTGAAAAATCATACTAGGGCTTATTTTTAGGTTAGGTCCTATTTTCAGGGAAACAGGGTACCTACTTAGATGCAATGCTCTTACATATTAAGGACTGATGAGATGGTGCATTCCCAATCACCTCTGCATCTGTTTTGGGGTGTGACCTTGAACATCTCTGATGAAAGTCAATACATGTGGGCTCAGATGGTGGTCCATTACTGAGTGATAAATGGACATTGCAAATTGGACTGATGCATTCAAAGTGGACCTATGGAATGGATCTCTAACATAAATGTTAGCAAAGATATATGGGAGGATAGAGAGGGGTTAAATATGCTTCCATTTTCCATCCTAGAGAGGAGCAATTAGGACAAATCTAGGTACCAAAGGATATCCAGAGGTTCAGAAATTAATGGAACAACTGGGTTGTGCTATTTTGCCTATCCAGTGGAAGGTAGGACTTGCTATGCTTTTCAAGAATACCTGCCACTGTCTTCCAAATGTGTAGTTAGAGATGATGAAAGACTAAGCAGCCTTTCACATATTTCACTTAAAGATTTCCCCAGCTCCAGCAGGATAGCTGTTGCAACTGAGCCCACACCACAGCAAAAACAGCTTTGTGCCAGGGAGGCTGCTAGAGTTTGGGAGTGGGGAAACAGTTATACAATCACCTTTCCTCTCTCTGTTTATGCAATAGGATACTAGTCACTGACATGCTCAAGCTGATGCTGTACCTTGCTGTGTTTTCTAATTTTGCTCGCTCTATCAGATTATAAATTGGATCTTTTTTCTGTCTTTAGTTTGCTGCTCCCCTCCTTCCTTTCTGAAATAGGAAGCTTCTCTTTTGAAAGCTAATGTTCTATCTTTTTGCTCAGTTCTTCCTTTGTCAGGTTGGTTCTATCATCTAGTTGTATTTTAAATGCCAGAGACTGACTAGATTCCCAAGATGGCATGTAAAAACAGCAAGGGGCGAGACGGGTAGAGCTGCAGCTTGTGCCAACATGCTGGATTCCTGAAATATCATGCCAATGCATCCAGTCTAAATGATTCTGCTTCCAAGGGCCTGGAGTTCTATTACCAGGTGGTGCAATATATGGATAATCTGGATTCTGTTCTACCAACATCTGTCTAGCTGCTAATGGCATCTGAAGCTCGAGGACAATGCGTTCTTTCAAAGGAGGAGGGATCCTCGCAACAACATGTGCAGAAATTTCCTTCGTCCGACCATTCCAGAAATTAACCACAACTTTGCTGTTTTTAAAGCCTGTAAACAGAAATAAAGAAGAAATAGTTCACAAGGAAACATGATCTGTGCGATCACTTGTCTGTGACTCCACATGGTAGGAGACACTGGCCTTCTGTAGTGCTTGGAAAAGTTACTTTTTGGATTACACATCCCAGAATTCATGTTGGTTGGAGAAATGTGGGAGCTATTATCCAAAAAGGACCTTTTCCGAGCTCTCCTCTGTGGAATTTGATCTCAACACACCAGGTTTGCCTCTAAGGGTTTTTCAGAGCATGGGAGCATTTCAGGAAGTTCTTGACAAGTAGGGAAGACCTAGACAAAGGTGTTAATCAGGTTAAAAACAATAAATCCTTTTAGGACATGCCTTGTATCCTGCTGCTTTTCCAGGATTGATCAGAAATGTGCAGTGAATGCTACAGAGAGGGAAACAAAAAATTATACCTGAATGAGATGATGCAGCCTCTTCCACTTGGAGGATAATGCCTGGACCATATCGTTGAACCTTCTTTTCCCATGGAGCAAGGACCCCATCCCCTGGAGCTAATGGCTGCCACCTGGCATCTTCATAGTCAATGACATCATAGAGAGGTGTTTCTTGCATTTGAAACTGAACCTTTCCTTTTTGTGAATGCTGTGATCTTTCAAACTTAACTAGAAAACATTCTCTGGAGTCCTGCAAGATCAAACCAGAAATCTTGGCAGATAAACTTGAGGGAAGTCACCAATTTTTCCCATCCTTCCATTCATGCCTTACTATGTATAGATGTCCTGTATATACAACATAAAAACAGTACTTTCACTCTACATTAAAAAATTATTTATTTATGCAGGATATTTATATTTAGTTTTTCTACTATGTTCTCAACACAGTCTACATGGATAAACAATAGACCCAACAAATCAAATATCTTGAATGCAGAAGATTACATTAGTTTTTTTTTACATGCACTATTTTTTGCAGGCCAGGCCTTTGATCAATAAAAGTAGGATAACTTCATGTCTCAAATCTCCAAGCTATTCAGCTGGACAAAGATAACTAGGAAAGAAATCTAGAAGCATTATCAAGAGCGTTCACATCACCTTACAGTCTTACTAAATACATGTCTACTTACAATATAATTATACACATAACCAGCTATGATACTAGAAGACTTGATATGTAACATGCACTCCTGTTAACACTTACCTGTAAAGGCAAATAATAGGAAAACAGTGAGACTTAACCTGAAATAAACATATAGGATTGCACTTGTTGATTTCATTCTTGAGCCTTGTTACCGATGCCACAGAGGTCTAACCTTGCCAATGTAAGGTACCCCAACCATAGAAAGTCCCATAAATAGCACTGCAACCTTTTCCCCCCGGATGATGGGTGGTACTTGCATCTTCTACATGAAGACAACAATCTGAAGTGCTCCTTCTCATAAATAATTTGAACAAGAGAGATAGAGAAAGACATACAGTGGTGCCCTGCTTGACGATGATAATGCGTTCCAGCAAAATTGCTGAACAGCGAAATCGTCATCAAGCGGAAAAAAACCATTGGAATGCATTGAAAACTGGTCAATGCGTTCCAGTGGGGGAAAATAGAAGATCCTCCATAGGGCAGCCATTTTCGATCCCTGTCTTGCAAAGAATCGGTCTGGAAAGCAGTGGCGATAGATCTATTCTGTACTGATAAAAGGTAAAGGTTCCCCTTGACATTTAGTTCAGTCGTGTCTGACTCTAGGGTGCAGTACTCATCCCCGTTTCCAAGCCACAGAGCCAGCGTTTCTCCAAAGACAGTTTCTGTGGTCACGTGGCCAGCGCGACTAGACACGGAACACTGTTTACCTTCCCACAGTGGTAGTACCTATTTATCTACTCGCATTTACATGCTTTCGAACTGCTAGGTTGTCAGGCGCTGGGACAAGCGATGGGAGCTCACTTGGTTGTGTGGATTCGATCTTACGACTGCTGGTCTTCTGACCCTGCAGCATTCTGTACTAATACTTATGCACTATACTGGGCATTTGACAACAATGTAAGAAAGGATATTTTGCAATACAATAAATATATATTAAAAATGGCACATAGATAAAACTCACAGATAAAGCAGAAATCACTTAGAAAACAGCAGATACAGTGGTGTCTCGACTTACGAACTTAATCCATTCCAGAAGATGGTTGTAATTCGAAATGATTGTAAGTGGAAGCACCATTTCCCATAGGAATGGATTGAAACGTGATTAATCCATTCTGTCCGGGGAAAAAAATCACAAAAACCTCCACAAAAACCAAAAAAACCCTGCAAGACCCATCGCGATTAATGGGTTCCAGCTGAAGGGAAAAAAACAAACCCAAAAGCAAACAAACCCTTCAAGACCCTTGGAAATGCAAAGAAGAAATCCCAGTAATTCTGTGGATTTACTCTAGCTGGAACGAAAGATTGGTTTTAGCCCTGAATCGCACCTGTAGTTAAAACCAAACATATTTACATTCTCCTTGTTTTCTGTTAACATTAAGTATACAAACAGCATGGATTTTAGGTATTTATTAGTTTTACTTATATGCCGCATTTCTGCCAACAAGGGACCCAAAGCAGCTCACAACATTACCATTAAAATTCATACAATTTAAAAACAGAGTAAGTTAAATATTAAAAGATAAATTAAACAATATATGATTTAAAATGCAATTAAAATATTAAAATTTGAAAACATAAAAAAGATTAAAATTTCTGTTGAAATGGGGTTCAAGGATTCAGTTATAATTGTTAAAAATCTGCTGGAAGAGATAGGTCTTTAGCTTTTTTCAAAAGGATAAGAGGGAAGGGGCCATCCTGATTTCCCGAAGGAGAGCGTTTCATAGCCTGGGAGCTGCCACCGAGAAGGCCCTCTCCCGTGACCCCATCAGCTGTGCTTGTGCTGGCAATGGGACCGAGAGGAGAGCCTCCTAGGCTGATCTTAATTGCCTAGAAGGCGCATATAGGGAGATACAGTCCTTCAGGTAGCCTAGACCCAAGCTGTATGGGGCTTTATAGGTAATGACCAGCACTTTGAATTGGGCCTGGAAGCGGACTGGTAGCCAGTGCAGTTCTTGTAACAGGGGTGTTGTATGCTCCCTGTAGCTGGCCCCGGTCCGTAGCCTGGCTGCAGAGTTTTGCACTAGCTGAAGTTTCTGAACTGTCTTCAAAGGCAGCCCCACATAGAACATGTTACATTAATCCAAACGGGATGTAACCAAGGCATGTGTCACTGTAGCCAAATCTGACATCTAAAGTAATGGGCACAGCTGGCGCACCAGCTTTAGCTGTGCAAATGCACTCCTGGCTCCTGGGCATCCAAGCTTAGGGATGAATCCAGGAATACACTCAAGCTACGGATCTGAGTTTTCAGGGGGAGTGTAACCCCATCCAGCACAGGTAGAATCCCTATTCCCTCATCTGCCTTCTGACTAACCAGGAGCACCTCTGTCTTATCTGGATTAAGTTTCAGTTTGTTTGCCCTCATCCAGCCCCTTACTAATGCCAAGCACTGGTTTAGAGTCAAGACAGTTTCCCTGGAATTAGGTAGAAAGGAGATATAGAGTTGGGTGTCATCCATATACTGGTGACACCAAACCCCAAAACTCTGGACAACCTCTCCCAGTGGTTTCATGTAGATATTAAAAAGCATGGGTGATAAAGCAGAAGCCTGAGGAATGCCACAAGCCAATGGCCAGGGCATTGAGCAGGAGTCACCCAGCACCACCTGCTGAGTACTCCCCTCCAGGAAGGACTGGAGCCACTGTAAAGCAGTGGCTCTGAGTCCCATCCCAGAGAGATGGCCCAGAAGGATACCATGGTCAATGGTATTGAAAACCACTGAGAGGTCCAGCAGAACCAATAGGGACACACTACCCCTGTTTTGTTCCTGGCATAGGATACCAAGGTGACAAAAGCTGTCTCTGTCCCATAGCTGGGCCAGAAACGAGATTGGAATGGGTCTAGATAATCCACTTCCTCCAGGAATCCCTGGAGCTGAGAAACCACCACATGCTCCAGTATCTTGCCTATTAAGAATAGCATATAGGGAGAGATGGAGTGAATCTGTCTGTTAACAAAGCCACTGCAAAATATTGCGCTGCATCAGTAGAAGAAATAGCACTTGGAAATAGAAAGGGGAAAAAGAGTATTGTGTTGCATAACCCCTCTAGAAACATGTCATGCCCCCACTGTTTGGGATGTTCTGATTTATGTAAATAAGCTTACCTTCACCTTTTGAACAATGTGACCTAGATAGTAATATCCATCCGTTTCTTTTCTTGCTAAGACTCTGATCCCCTTTGGCAAGTTGTGAATCATTAGGGACGAGTCCATTAAATCCTCCTTTATTGAGCCTCTCAGAAATTTGTTAGGGGAATCCATGCTCCAAGCGCCCATAGGAAATCTGAGGACATAGGAAAGTAATATGTGCTAAGAAGGACAAGATTCTTATCCTTAGACAACTAGAATAACTCAGAAGAACAAACACAAAAGGTATTAGCTCTTTAATTTGATTCATATTGTAAAAAGCAGAGGTTACTATATAGGACTGTGTCTGGGAAAGCTGTGTTCAAGTACCCAGTAAGCCATAGCTGGTCGACCTTGGGCGAGTCAGCCCCATGGCATTGTGGTTAAACTGCAATACTGCAGTCAAGTCTCTGTTCATGACCCGAGATCGATCCCAACAGATTCAGGTAGTTGGCTCAAGGTTGACTCAGCTTTCCATCCTTCCAAAGTTAGTAAAATGAAAAACAGGTTGCACACGGTGCAAAGTATCATTTGCATAATTATGTTGTAAAATGTCCAGAGAGTGCTCTAGCACTATAGCACAGTATATAAGTCAAAACAACAACATTCTTTTAAACAATGACTGGCCTCATAGAGCTGCTGTGAGGCTAAGGTGGAGAAGAAGAGAGCCATGTGTGCTCCCTTGAGAAAGGGTGAGAACAAAAAATTTCACTGAAGGAACGGCAGGATAAAAATATAACAAATAATATGTTCCTCTGAAACAGGTGGGCAATTGGGGCTGCCAGAAATTCTTGGACTGACATGCACACAATTCTACTCTATTGGCTATGGTAGGATTCAGGTGAATTGTAGGCCAAAATACTTGGAGATCCACAGCTGAACACTTGGATCTAAAAGGTTCTCAGATGTTCAACTCACTGTGTTATGTGATGACTATCCAGTGAATGGATACAGTGCTGCTTGCTGACACAGTCAGAATGGATATTGCTTGCCACACAGCCAGAATTATTCTAGAAAAAAGGTAGCAGAAAAGTGGGTTTGCAGAGCATCAACCGTGTCTAATGATAATAGTCTAATAAGCCACCCAGAGACCTTTGGTTAGAGTGGGCGGCATATAAGTTAAACAAACAAACAAACAAACAAACAAATAAAATAATGATCCGCTCTCTCAATAACTTGCATTAATAGAACATAGTAGTATTTTGACTCTTTGCAGCTATTTTCATTCACTGCATTAGCTCACACATACGTGCTGGCCATATGACCTAATGTTTGGTGACTTCTGTACATGAATGAGCCTTCATGGAAGTAACTCCATCGGCAGCATTTTAATATCATGAAATGTATCCTTTTCAGTTAAGGTGAGTTTGCATATTTGGATAACCAAGACCTCATCCATCAAGTGAGGAGAAATCATGTTGTGTACCCGCCACATATATGAACCAGTTGTCAGGTTCAACCTTGCTACATTTAAGTGTCACTTACTTCATCTGAAGACACGTCAGAGTTGAGGTGGAGTGGCTGAAAAGAACCACCAGACTCCTTGGCTACTTTTTCCAGTATTTTTTGAGAGTCACTTTTACTCTCCTCTCTGCTTCCAACCAAATAAACTACATGCATTGGGTGTGCCCGTTCTGTCTCTTTAAGGCGGCAACAGATTTCTTCCACTGTGCACATGGGAAGCCCACTGGTGAAGAGGTACACGGCTTGACTAATGGGATCTTCCAGTGCTGCTACCAAAGGACTCAATGCACTGGCCCCACTGTTGATTTGAAGGGCTCTGATCCAAGCAGTTGCTTCAATTACACTAGTGAGGGAACATTTCACCAGTCCATTCTGCCACTTGTAAGCCTGGAGAGGAAACCAAAGGGTTCTCAGCAACAAACAGCACCAGAACCACACAAATTATTAAGATTATGCATATAAGTGATCTCACCTCTTCCTCCAACTATCTATCAGATATTGTGAGTTGAGCCTTTAACTATAATGCAGGGTGTAAGGATTTTAAGTAAATGCATACATAATAAATACTGACACAGTGATTAATTTTAAAACTTTCCATAACTATGCCCCAAAGAATCCAGAAATAGAGACAACTTCATTCTCTGTATCAACAATCTATTTCTAATTGCTTTAATTTCCACTTTGGGTAGGTCTTTTCTAAAGGAAGTAGGTTTTAATTGGCTATTTTGGACCAAGTCATTTCAAAATGCTTCACAGAGCTCTGTGAAGTTAAAGACATTTATGATCAATTGTTAAAAATTCATTATTCCTTTCTCGGGCACAAACTACTGTAAAAACACAAGTTAAACTCAAAGAGCTTGAGAGGAGTGGTAGATGATGCCATCGATGCATTCATCAAAAAATCCCAGTGCTTTAACTATGTGTATCCTGGCTCCGGTGCAACACAACAAATAAATACCGGTATATGGTTTACAGATTATTGACCTTCAGATTCGGAATGCTAGTGACTCATAGGCCTTTTCCTGTACAAGGGCACCTAACGCAGTGGTCATCAAATACATATATCATATATGTTGGAGTACAGATCCACGGTCCGCTGGATAGAGATCATGGAAATTGTGGTCCAACCTATCTGAAGGTCATTGGGTAAGGAAAAGGCACTATAACTTTATTGCTGACCTCCCACTCCATCCCCCAATTTACCTTTCTGGTACAGCTGACAATATTGAACATTGAGTCCAATAATTTGCTGGCCAATGAATAGAGAGTTTTTATGAGAACTTCTTTCAAGATAGACAGGTCAGAGGGGCTATTTTCTGACACAAAGAGTACAAAGACCACATTCCGTTCATAGATGTTTGCCACAGGTAAGGTCCCAGGACAGAAATAATGCATCTTGGAATTTTAATTATTCTACAAGACAGAATGATGATGACAGTTATGATAATGAAGATGATGGTACAACTGACAAACTATCAAAGACATAAAAATATAGGCAACATTTCAGCTATAGTGGTTATATTTTATCCAACAGCTATCTCCTATCTTTCTAAATCCCTCCCCATTCACATTATTACAGATTTCTCTATTCCCTTCCTGAAACCAATTTCCACACAAAAAGATATTAGAATTTTTTTAAAAAAACAACAACTAATAGTCCTGCAAATTATTTTGCTTAGAAATTTTTTAAAAATGGAAACAGTTTCTGTTCCTGGAATTGAAATGGGAAGCTTGCCTATTCATTACTTGGACAGACGTTGCGATGATTCCAGAGGATGAGATCACATAGTTATGTTCATATCATGCAGCATCCAAAACAGAAACTTGCATGTGAGATCAGCTGCACTTATTAGGCACAAGAAACAAAACTATAGTTATGCCTCCAGATCCCTTCAAACTCAACATTTTTCAGTTAGGAATAGTTCACATGTTGAACAGCACATCACCAAGTACCGAGTGGTGTGTGTAACCCCCATGAAATATTGGTTCAGCTCAAAGGAGTGATACTAAGAAACAGCAGGACTGTGAGTAAGAGATTTGAAACAGAAAGAGCAGGAGAGCTTGTGAGGGTTCAGTCTGCGGGACCTCCCTTTCCCCAAATAAAGCAGGAGGCGTTTTAAAATCGAAAGTGTTGTCTTCATTTATTAACTCAGGTAACTGGATTGAAACCTTATGTAAACTGGGAACAAACTTCTCCTGTGAGAGCAACGGCTCAGACAGGGGCAACCACATATCCATTTCAAACGGGTCTGTAGATTTGTGCGCCCAGGGACCTGCCCAAACCCTCTCAGGTTCTGGGAGCATATCTTCTCCCACATCTGGTATTAGTAAGGGGATGGTTTCTTCGTCCCCCGACCAACCCCAAAGCGGCGATCCTTCTCCTGGGTTGGCCCCCCCAAGGTCCAGGTACCAACCCAGTCTCTTCAACTCCTCCAGATGCCATGCTCTTTTGGCTTCTCTTTCCTGCTCAGCTGCCTCTTTCTCTTCCCTCAGTTTGCGTCGCCACTCTCAGGTTTCGGACTCACCCCAGTATGACGGGCGTTGGGGAAGTCCTTTTCGTCTTCGGCTCTCCGCCTCTTGCTTACGAACCCAGACTTGCTCCCATAGCCCAGTCCATGGGTCCTGCAACCAAATCATCCCCCAGCCACCCGGGATGTCATCCTGGTTCACCTTTATATCGCCCACCCCGCCTCCACCACAGACCGCCCACTCTCTTCTTTTCCCGCCATTTCAGGATAGGTCTGGATGGCCACCGCTAACCCCTTCAAGCCCTGGGTTAAATCCTTTGTATTGACTCCTCGATGCACCAACCTAGGAGGAATAGGGGGTGGAGGCGTCTGTGTTCCCTTAGATGTTCTAGGGAGAGACAGCACTCCTATCATAGCTTCCTGACCTGAGCCTCGGGTTCCACAGAGCTGAAAAGGCTAGAACTGCTGCTGTTGCTTAGGCTGCTAAAGCCTTTGCCTACTTGCCTAGGTATACTTTCTATATGTTTGTGCTGGAGGGGGTGAATTGATATTTTATACTACAGTTTTGAAGACTATATATATGGAGCTGATTCTTCTACCCAGCTCAGTTGAGGAAGATATTTTGGATTTTTGTCTGAATTTGAATTCAAAAGGACACTTCAACTTTGCAATTCTGCAAGGAACTTCTGTATTGTGCTGTTGCCAAAGGGCTCGGGTGCACAAATTGTAGCATTTTGTTATTGTGATAATTGCTCATCTTGTCTGTTATATTATGGGTCCCCAACCGTTTTCACCCTGCGGACCAGCTGGGGAAGGCGGAGCACCGCCAAGCTCATGGGCATGTGCAAACAAGTGAGTGTGAATGAATGTGTGTGTGTGAACAAACGGTGGCCTGACCCTTATGCAAGCTCGCTCACTTGTATGCATGCACAAACGGCAGCACAGGGCTCACGCGGAGTGTGCGCGCACTTGTGTGCATATGCAAATGGCAGCGCAGCGCTCACACGGGCATGCTCAGCATGCACAAATCAGCTGTGTGGGGGGGAATACGTGCGCAGGGGGCGGGAAGTCTGTCTCTGCGGCCCGGTTCGGCTCAGGCCACGGACCAGCACCAGGCCACAGACCAGGGGTTGGGGACCTCTGCCCTATGGAGAGAGGGTCCTACTGTATAGTGACAAAGATGTAAGCCTTGGAGGCATCCAATTTTTTCCAAAAGTTCATAGCAAATGTAATGTACCTATCATGGTGGCATAGTGAATTCAGCTGGTAAAGAATTTGCAAAGCAGGACTGCTGACTGCATTGTCATAGTTTCTAGAACCAGACAGGGTTTTTTGTTAATAAAAAGGAATGGCACCGTTGTGTACCTGCAATTTCTATTGATTTTATTCTGTAGATTAGTCATCGCTTCCAGATGCACTCCTTGGCTGATTCCCTTCAACACTCACAGCCTGGTCTCAGTTAAGCCCTGAACTGAACCACCACAACAATACATAGCATGGTCTCTGGCTGCCTGGAGTGGCCAGTTCAGGTAAATTCATTGTGAAAATACTTATTTCTTGATTCCCCCCCCCTTTCAATCGTTTTCAAAATTTCAGACCACAGATAAGTGAAAACATGGATACACATCCAGCATATACCGGGATCCTACTGTGTGCCCAGCCTGAGAGAAACAGATGTCTACCCAACTGTCTGCAGCACTTCTGCAGTAAAGTGTTCAATGCTGAAAGGGAGACAGAAAGGAAGTACTTTCAATTTAAAGACATTTTAATTGAAATCCCATTGGCACTTGCATAAGATTTGAGTAAGTTGCCATGGCTACCTGCAGCTGATTGATGAAGTGCTGGGGTACATCTGGTTGAACAAATCAGGCACATGACCAGGCATGTGACCCAGACATTCCTTGAGACCTTTCAATTAGCCAGAGCAAGTTACTCAAGTATGCAAGCACCGATAATAGTTAAATTTATTGCCTGGAATCCATAACCGAATGCCACCTAAGGCCAATGATGGCATCAGCAATGGAGAATGTGACAGGAGCAACTCAGTTCAGAGGCTGGCAGCAAGTCCAGCATACATGAAGTTTCAGATTCAGTCCCTGACAGCCACACTTAAAAAGCTGCTGGAAAAAGGAGTTTGCAGGAACAAATACCCCACTAAAAACAGTAAACAAAATGAACACCAAAAGCACGTTCAAAGCAATAAGTCACAACAGTCCATTCAAAATCCTAACCCAGGCAGCCAGTCAATAAGGGAAAACTTGACTGAAGAAGGTCTTTGCCTGCTTATGAAATGACAGCAAAGATGGGGCACGTCTGGCTTCCAGTGGGAGGGAGTTCCAAAGGCTGGGGGCATCTTTGAAACACAGCTGCATATTTGATAGTGCAGGGATGGTGTTAAAATACTGGTATGTGTT